AGAAAGCCCTAAGCCTATGATGGTAAACCTATGGCACGCGTGCCAGAGGTTGCACTTAGAGCCCTCTCTCTGGGCACGGGCACCATCACCAGCTGGTTTTCACGAGTGCCGGAGTGGTGAAAAATGGCCTGAAAATACCCCCCCAAAATGGCCAAAACCCAGGCATGTGTGCACTGGCCAACTGGTCTTTGGGTATCCAGTGCTCCGGCATGCATGAAGATCAGCTGCATGCTGGAAATTTGAAGACCATCTGGCCAGGAAGTGCATGTATGCCGACCAGCTGGTCTTCGGCTTTCCAGCATTCCAGCATGCATGCATGTGCATTCTGGTTTGGGCACTGGGGGGGGGGGCAAAAAGGTTTGCCATCACTGACTAGGCAGAAATTTACACCTTTCTCATATTTTTATGTACCTGCCTTTTTGTACCTGATGCTCCCAGAAACATGGGAGGGGTTTGATTGCTTTCCCCTCCAGGGAAAGAAACGTTACTATTATCTCCTGCTTAGAGCGTAGAAAAAGCAGCAATTCCACACCCCTTTCTTCTTTACCAAATTGTTCTCTACCAATTACTTTTCTAATTTTGGAAGCTGCCTCCTTGGTAAGGGGAATCCCACCTGTCCTTGTTTTTAAAAAAAAAAATCAGGGCTACTCCAATGAACTTCTAATTCTTAATTGTGTTTGGGCAACCATCTGAATCAGTGGAGTATCATGATTTGTTATGTTATGTGAGAATGACTTGGGCGACAGGAGGAAGAGCCACANAATGCATTGACTTCCAACTCCTTTTGGTGCAGTAAAATAAGATAATAGTATTAAACCTCAACTTTTTACTTTTACATAACAGTATAAACTAGCCATTTCTAAAGCAACAAACCTGTCTAATCAGTAAAACCCAAAATCAAAGTTTCACTTTTTTTCCCACCTCAAGCACAAAGTCCAGAAGTGGTTTCCAAGGAAAAACAAAAGTAATTGTGATTTTTCCCCTTTAATCAAAGCATTCAATTTAACCATCTTTGCTAACTCCACCAACTTTTGCAGTCATTAATCCATTGTGGGAATCAGAATGACTGATTGTTTCAAAATGAGTATATTTTGTAGACTTGTAGAAACACACAATTCTCCCTAAAAGCAAGATGAACTGCACACCTGTGCTCCCAAATTATTTAACTTTTCAACAGAGCTTATATGGGAGAACTTAACCTGAATTCAAGGATATCCAAAGAATATTGTTGCTGGCGCCATTGCAATACAGACCAAAAACAGGCAGAACTTTGCTATCTTGATTTTTATAAGCTGTCCAGAGTTATTGCTTGAAATGAGCAACTATAGAAATTGAATCAATCAATCAATCAATCAATATCCTTGAGAGAAACATGAAAAACATCCCTCACATCCTGGACATAAATTGTTTCAACTTCTACCCTCAAAACAACACTACAGAGCACTGCACACCAGAACAACTAGACACAAGAACAGCATTTTTTCCCAAATGTCATCACTCTGCTAAACAAATAATTCCCTCAACACTGTCAAACTACTCACTAAGTCTGCATTACGATTAATCTTCTCATTGTTCCTATCACCATTTCCTCCCATTTATGACTGTATGATTGTAACTTTGTTGCTTGTATCCTTACAATTTATATTGATTGTTTCCTAGTATGATTTGATTGCTTATTTGTACCCTATGACTATCACTGAGTGTTGTATCTTTTTATTCTTCATGAATGTATTTAATTCTCTTTAGGTACCTGAGAGCATATGCACCAAAGACAAATTCCTCGTGTGACCAATCACACTTGGCTAATAAAGAATTCTATTGCAGAATTGGGGAATATGTAATCCTCAAGATTTCATAAACTCTGACACCATCATTCCTAGATGGGGAAATGTTTTTTCTGAGCTGAGTCCATTTAAAAGAAATCTCAAAAATGTTCCCATAGAAAGATGTTAAAAATGTTACTTAAAGATTGCTTTAATTTACTAATGAGAGAGCTATAAGTGGCTCTGTGAAATACTTGAGCATTCCAAATGAGAGTGAGAGAGAGAAATGCATGAAAAACAACTAAAGGGAAATAAAATTTTAGATTGGCAATTCTCAGTGTACAGTTTGATGCATCTATGTGGCATTTTAAAAATCATCCAATAATTTAAAGTAATGGTAAAAGTTCCCCTCACACATATGTGCTAGTCATTCCTGACTCTAGGAACAACTCAAGGAGCCAGTGCTGTCCGAAGACAACTCCGTGGTCATGTGACCGACATGACTAAACACCAAAGGCGCATGGAACACTGTTACCTTCCCACCAAAGTGGTCCCTATTTTTCTACTTGCATTTGCATGCTTTTGAACTGCTAGGTTGGCAGAAGCTGGGACAAGTAACAGGAGCTCACTCCATTATGCAACGCTAGGGATTCAAACTGCCAAACTGCCAATCTTTCTGATAGAAAAGCTCAGAATCTTAGCCACTGAGCCACCTTCCAATAATTTATTCCCTGCCAAAGAAGGTCTCCCAGATGCTGCTTTTCATGACTCAATACCAGTTCTGATTCTCCACCCTACTTGGTATATAAGTTGGTAAAATCATTGGCTGACTTAGTGTTTTGGATGGCAGCTAAAAATAAAAAGCAGACTCTCACATTTTCTTGCTTAATTGACAGAAATATATTTTTTTTAAAGTCACTACTTAGATTTTCCTATTGTCTGATGCAGGATTTTGTTGATCAAAATTCTATGCCTATCTGCTTTTATCAGGATTTTGTTGACAAGGTAGAAAGGGTGTTAAAATATTTTTCTTTTCACTTTGCTAGAAGTTGCTTCCAAAAAATTTGCCTATAAATCATTCTATTCCAAAGAGCAAGACAAGCACATTGAGTCTTTACTTAGGAATGTGCTATGTATGTACCATATGCATAAACACACTGAGGAACAGCATTATGTCGAAGTTTTCTCCAACACCAAAAACCAAAGCAAGATACACTTTCACACTTCCAGATCTGAAACATCATTTGCAAATTGATAATTGAGTCTAGGAAGAGGCTTCCTACACAAAACCAAAGACTCCTTCAAGTCCCTTGGACTACAAGACAACCAAGCCAGTCAGTCCTAGAGGAAATCAACCCTGACTGCTCTTTAGAAAGGTAGATTCTGAAGAGGAAACTCAAATACTTTGGCCACCTAATGAGAAGGAAGGACTAACTGGAGAAGAACTAGGATGGATTGAGGGCCAAAGAAGAATGGGACAACAGAGAATGAGGTGGCTGGATGGAGTCACCGAAGCAATTGGCCTGAGCTAAATGGACTCCAGAGGATGGTAGAGGACAGGAAGCAGGGGTGAAATCCAGCAGGTTCTGGAGAACTGGTAGTGGAAATTTTTTCAGAGAACCAGTAGTGGAAATTTTGAGTAGTTTGAAGAGCCGGCAAATACCACCTCTGGCTGGTCCCAGAGTGGGGTGGTAATAGAGATTTTGCAGTATCTTTCCACTGCCATGCCCACCAAGCCATGCCCACCAAGGTACACCATGGCCACCAAACCACACCCATAGAACCAGTAGTAAACATTTTTGAATTTCACCACTGACAGGAAGGCCTGGAGGAACATTGTCCATGGGGTTGTGATGGGTCAGACATGACTTTGCAATTAACAACAACAACAAATACAAAACCATTGTCTCTTTCAATATTTTGCAAGAGTCAAAGCAGATACTCACTAGACTTTTTCATGTGAAGAAAAGGGAAGAGTTTTTCTGGATAGGGGCAATGTGCTATCAGCTATAAAAAAACAAATGCTTTTAGAAAGCCCTCAGGTGAAACTGGAGTAATCCTCCACCAGCAGGCTCTCTCTAACATCTGCTGTTCAATTGTATGTCATTTTGGATTGTGGCAGATCTAACTTCCCTTATCTTACAAGTAAATGACTGTTAGCTAATTCCTGCACCACCACGGCTCTTATCCCAGCATAGTTGAATTGATGCAGCACAATCTGGTGTGATGTCTTAGCAGTTAAGATGCTAGGTATGGTAGCTGGAAAACAACAGCCCACATTTGAGACCCAAGTGTTGAGCTCCTGTCAATTGCCTCAGCCCCTGCTCACCTAGCAGTTTGACAGCATGCAAATGTGAGTAGAAAAATAGGTACTATNTAAATACCACCTCTGACTGGCCCTGCCCCCATCTATTCTCTGCCTCCCAAGTCCCAGCCGATCAGGAGGAAATGAGGATTTTTCAGTAACCTTCCCCTGGAATGGGGAGGGAATGTAGATTTTACAGTATCCTTTCCCTGCCATGCCCACCAAGCCACGCCATGCCCACCAAGATGCGCCTGCAGAACCGGTAGTAAAAAAATTTGAATTCCACCAATGATATGAATGATAGTTTGAAAATTAACAATACATAATGTTGACCTCTTGAACCAATTTATTAATTGAAACTCATACTTGCACAAACACACAAAAGGAGAAAATCAATTTCAAATCCATATATTCATAAAAATAAATTAAAATATGTTTCTGCTAGGGAAACTTATTTTCAAAATCAAGCAAAGTGTGAATAAAAAAAAATTATATGCTGGGAGGCATAGAAGCCAAAGTATATTTATATTTCAATGTAATTTAAAAAGCCACTTGAATGTAAGACTTTTGAAATAAACAAACAAATAAGGGAAAGCAAAACATCCAGATTTGCCCATCCTCCCACTAATTCAAAAATCTCCTCGTGAATTTTCCTCTGGATCTTGGAATGCTAGATTTCCCAGGTAGAAGAAACGTATGGTGATTCTCTCTTTTACTCTTCATTTATATTCTCCATGTTAACTAACTTCAGTTTCCTGATCTGGGCATTTCTGGATAAACTATCATTAAAATTTAGGTAAATTGCAGGAACAATTTAGTACAAATCAGAGAATCATTGAATTTCAATTGTGTCTTAAGTTTGGAGATAGGGGTCAGGTCCAATAATAAAAAAACAAAAATTGTTAAAGTATATTTTAATACATATTTTAGGATAAAATGTAGTTAGAATGTTGTTTTTGGTGATGTCTTCAAAAACACCCACACTGAAAAAGACAAAAACAAAATTTTGTGTTCAATGCAGAAAGAAAAAAAATGGTATTCAGGATACTTACCACTCTGTTGTCTGCCGCTACATAAAACTCAACATATTTTCTGGCCTGCAAGTATTCCTGTTTCTAGACAAAACATGAACCAAAAGACTGTTTAGACATGTTGCTTCCTGCAGTCAACAGAAATGTTGGGTCATCATCAGATAATCTTGTTATACTCCCTCGACAAAGTCCTTGAACTTTTAGAAATATTGGCTCTTTGAAGAAGACATTTATTGCGAGAGAGCTTGTTAAAACTTCAGCACTTTAGAATGTGCTAGGAAATTTCTCAGGACGAGGAAATTATGCAGTGGTTAACCAGATTCACTTTGTCAATTTTTATTCAATCCAACTTGATGATTCAAGTCATATTGGAAAATTGAATCAAGATTAGGTATTGGTCTAATTAGACATCGCAAAGCATTTTGATTTAGTATTTCAAACCAGTTTTACCCTCAATCCCAAGTCCCCTATGGATGCATAATAAAAGAGGCCTCCAACTGATAATTTGATTACACTTATTTCTAAACAGATTCAGAAAGTTGTGATGATTTGGAGACTCAGCTGAATCTGTTTTGAACCACTTACTATACTATGCCCTCTTATAATACTAGACAACACACTATCAATGGTAGGGACCTTCAAATTTCTAGGTTCTATCATATCTCAAGACCTAAAATAGACACCTAACATCAAAAACGTCATTAAAAAGTGCAATAAAGAATGTTCTTTCTGCGCCAACCTAAGGAGCTCAAACTGCCCAAGGAGCTGCTGATACAGTTCTACAAGGCAATTATTGAGTTTGTCATCTGCACCTCTGTAACTGTCTGGTTTGACTCTGCAGCCCAACAAGACAGACACGGACTTCAAAGGATAATCAGAACTGCAGAAAAAACAATGACTACTAACCTGCCTTCCATTGAGGACCTGTATACTGCACAAGTCAAAAAGAGGGCCATGAAAACAGATCCCTCGCATCCTGGACATAAATTGTTTCAACTCCTATCCTCAAAATGATACTACAGAACACTGCACACCAAGACAACCAGACACAAGTTTTTTCCCAAACACCATCAGTCTGCTAAACAAATAATTTCCTCACTACTCTCAAACTATTCTCTAAGGCTGCATTACTATTACTATTAGTCTTCTCATCATTCCTATCACCCATCTCCTCCCACTTATGACTGCAGGGCTATAACTTTGTTGCTTGAATCCTTACAATTTATATTGATATTGATTATTTCCTGATTGCTTATTTGTACCCTATTGACTATCATTAAGTGTTGTACCTTATGATTCTTGATGAATGTATCTTTTCTTTTTATGTACACTGAGAGCGTATGCACCAAAGACAAATTCCTTGTGTGTCCAATCCCACTTGGCCAATAAAGAATTCCTTTTCTATTTTCTAAATTAAGTTTGGATGACCATAGAAAATGGTGTAAACCTGAAATGTGTATTTTCTGTTCATTGTGTTTCCATATGTTCTTCTGCAGCATGGGTGGAATGGATGTTTAGGGATCTTATCTTCTGAAATCTTTTTAGCAGTCCTAGAGAATTTATCTTTCATTTTACAATTTAAAAACAAGTAAATGAATCCCTGTTCTCAAACCATGTCATATTCTTGAGGGTTTAATGTGAGACTTACTTCAATATTCATGCTCATCCGAGAGGTCTTTGTGAGGGGCTCATCTGAGTCCCAAGTAGTATTGGTTACCCCACAGATTTTGGGGGTGTCATCCTCTTCTTCCAGATTTTCATATTTGTAGACTGCATGGGCTTCACTGTCAGAAAGCTTCATAGGTTCAATAAGGTACTTCTCACCCTGATTCTTGAAATACCCTCTGTAAAACAATTGTAGGTTCATTTTCAAAAGCATGATTAGAGGTAGAAGANAACAAATTAACAAATTAACAAATTAACAAATTAACAAATTAACAAATTAACAAATTAACAAATTAACAAATTAACAAATTAACAAATTAACAAATAAATTAGGACAGCGATACCATTTTGGAGGTTGAGATAGTCTTCAAGGACTATGTAGTGCCTGATGAAGTGTGTTTTGCAGTTGTCCAATCAGGAAGTGACTAAGACATGAGTGAATGCAAGCACAGTGCCTTGCAGCCCAGGAATGGACAAAACTGGTGCACAAATTTGTGTTGTGCAAAGGTCTCCCTGGCCACAGCTGCCACCTGCTCTTGGAGTAGGAGCTATGGATTCAGAAGAAACCCCAGACTGCTCATAAATTCTGAATGGAATGTACCATCCCATGCAAAACCAAAGATGGAAAAACTCTGTGTTCTTCAAATGGTGCCTCCCACTCTCAACTCCCTCAGCAACCTTTGATGCCATTGCTGATAGTATCAAAAGCTACTGAGAGATCAAGGGAATCAGGATGAATGCACTACCCACATCCTAGGTTTACCACAGATCAAAAACAAGCACAACCAAAGTAGATCTCCATACTGCATCCCACTCTAAATCCTGGCTTGAAAGTGGTTCATGCCACCATCTTAACCCAGCACGCTACACCGAGCCCTATTTAAATTTACCAACCAGACTGACTTTATAGATACACTAAACCTCAAAATCATATAACCAAGTTTATAATTGATATACCCCATTAGTGATACCCTCGCCCAGACTGTCACCAAATTAGTTAAACATGTTGGATAAATACAGCTTTCCCTACCATAGTAAACAATTCCCCCCACTCCAAGTCTCATATTGAAAGGGAAAGTTCACACTTCACATGGATTTTAAAGAATATTCATCTATGCTAACTGGAAAATAAAATCTGCATTTCTCTGCTGGCATACATCTGAAAATCTTATATTGAGAAAAGTACTAAGTGGTGTCACATTAGTTTATGTACAGTGTGAAGATTCTCTGAAGATAACAACAATAGCACTAGATTTTGTTTGGCCGAATATTATGCAAGCTTAATTACAGGAGCTCTAATGGAAGAAAATTAAAACTGAAAAATATTTATCTTTCCTTTCATATTTTGCTTCCTGAAATTTTCTTGACACCAACTCTGTTTCTCTATCCCCTTCAGTCTTCTACCCTAATTTTCACTCACATAATTGGAAAACTTTCCCTCTAACTTGAACGTGATTTGCTTCTTAGGATCTTAGGATTTTTCTTTCTTAGGATCTGTTTTCTGCATGGCAACATTTAAGCAAATACAAAAAAAAAAAAACCCTCAATGTAATTTTAGCACAATTGAGATCTTTGAGAGCATTCTTTTGGCTAGTCTGGGACAAGTACTTGTTAATCATCAAAAGAAAAACCATAGAAACTTCTCAGGTACAGTAGTCTTTAAGCAATAAGAATCTGAAAAAAATGAAACTGAAGAAAACATCTTACCTTGGAATGAAAACATTGTTAAGCATATTGTAACCAGGAGGGCTCGGATCATTATGGATCCTGAATTTGGCTGGTGGACAAGAGATTTCTTTCTGCTTTCTAGCCAACCTGAGCAGTTCTCCTTTTGACTGTGAGAAGCGAGTAATGAGTGCTCCAGCTTTATTCATGCCCTTAAATGAGGAAGTGTTTGCTAAAGGTGTTGCACAACTTCAAAGTTGCAACAAGTACTACTAGATGGCAGGTTTCCAGCTGGCTTAGCATGTGACTCCAACAATGATACCTGGAAGAGCTCTTTCAAGACAGCCCCCAAAGCAAAAACCCAAAGGAGGGGATTAAGAGGTCACAGCAGATCTCTCCCTGGCTGGCATGCTAATACCACTAAATTTGGGCATTTTTGGGCAAGGGGCTTTAAATGCCAATGAGAAGACAGCAATGAGTTGTTTTTTGTAGTATTTTGTAAGAGGCACTTTTTGAAGAATCCAAGGCAAAAGGAAGGGATTAAGTGGTCACAGCAGAGCTCTCCCTGACTGGCATGCTAATACAATTAAATTTGGGTGCTCTTGTGCAAGGGGTTTTAAATTCCAAGGAGGACACTAGCACTCAGTTGGTTTTTGTAGTATTTTGTGAGTCAGGGACACTTTTTGAAGAATCTAACCTTCTTTCAATGTTGCTAGCATTTAGGGATAGTTGATCATCAGGGAGCTCAATGGGTAGGCTTGTAGACTCTGAAAAATGATGTTATTGGGCGAAAGACTGAATCCATGCCAATGCAGTTACCAAAAGGACCCTTGTCTTCACTACAGGGGAGAAAACCTTATGCAATAATAAATTTTTCAGTTTGGGGGGGGGGGGAGCCAGGAACCTTTTGTAAATTTTCTTCGTGTAACAGCTCCACAAATCCCTCCATATTCTGAAACAAGAGATTTATATATTGGTCATCCAAATGTTGGGCAGCAGTAATATGCATTCAAAGGGCTTTTGAAAGGGGAACTAGGAGATGACTCACAGAGCCAGTGGATCATTTCAATTGCCTTAAGGGGACCCCACTTTTCCTTTATAATCTCTCCTTTTGTCTCCACCTGGGATAGACATCTACAAGGACAAAATAAAGAGGCGTGTGAAAAAAAGGGGGGCAAGAACCCAACCTCCTGTTAAAGGTAAAGCAGAAATCTTTGGTGAGGGAAAAGAGGGGAAAAGGATAATCTACTTTTGACTAGTCTGGTTGGCAATTTCGGGAGAAAGAGAAGTCAAGGTAGAAACAGCAGCTTCATTCCAAGAGGACAAAGGCAAAATAATCTTCTCTTTGTTTAGAAACAAGGAGATATGTGAGCCTTTGAAACTCTCTTTGGTGGCCAGCTTGTATTCTTTCCCAACTTCTGCTGTTGCCATCACCATCAGTCTTCTCTCGCAATGGCACTAAACTAATTAAAATGCCAAAGCCTGTCTAGGTGAAGTGCTATCTATAGAAGTAGCCTCAAGCCACATCTTATGCTGATTTTAACATTTCTCTTAGAGAGGAGGATAAAGGAGAAACCAGTGTTACAATATATGCATGCCTCTGCATATATGGACCTGCCTTTAATGCTTTTCTTATCTCAGTTTGATGCTGGCCTTGATCTTGGAACTTTAAATTCTTTCCTCAGAATAGGGAAAGAGGAGGAAAAAGTTTTCCACCCATTGCCTTTTTAGAAATGGCTTCTCCAACAAGCTTTCTTACACTGAGAACAGGGTCCTGTTTTAGAGTGATCAAAGAATGAAGAGATTAAAAAAACCAGATTTCCACAATTGAGGTCATTCCTCATAGCTGCTACCCAATTGAACCACCACCCAGTAATTTGTCTTTCTGTGCCTCTATAGTTCGATTCTGAAGAAGAGATCATCAGTCACAAGTCGGTAGACAAGGAAACTTCTAGATCACCACATACTGTATTTCTCCGCTGTAATAATTGTTGATCATTTTCAGGTACTCGGATTAATTCTGTCTAAATGTTTATTGTTTGATCTGTTTCCCTTTCTCTGAATGTGGCTACATTTTGCTTTATCTCTTGTAAAGTATGCTGCATTTTGACTCTACCATTTATTCACTATAATATTTATTCAAGTTTTATTTGCTAGAGCTAAAATATTTGTCTTTTTCTTTTTTTATGAATTGGTCAATGACTGTAAGATAGTTTATTGATTGAGAATAACTGCTTCATAAGCCAACTCTCTGTGTAAATTATTTGTAGTTGTTCACCACAACACATGAAAATTAATCTTTTGACCCTTATACTTAACACTATACTCTCAACCTCCCTCCCTTGTCTAAATTTGTTTCCAATTCTTTCTTTAGCTCAGTCCAAGTTATTATTTTTCTCCATCTCTTCTTCCAGAGTCTGGGGAATGCAAAGCATTAGGAATCCCCATATGTTCACTTCTTGCATATGCTGCCTCATTTGGTAAAATCATCATTATCTATTTCTCTCTCTCTCCTGCAGACTCTTTTTGTGGGGTTATGATTCCATTTTTATTCCTCAGATCTGTTTGACTGTCCTTGTTTTATTTCCCTATATTTTCAGTTTTTCATTGACAAACTGCCCAAAGAACTCCAGTTACTGGTACTTTAAATGGAAGGAAGACCATACCAGAAAATATTAATATTCCCAACACTCACTCACACCTCTACTCAATCTGTATAATTTTAGCCTCCCCAATAGCAGAAGCTCTCCTATTATAATTTTTTCCAAGAGAAAAGCCACAAAATAAAAATGCCACTTTTCATAGAGGAAATGAAACTACAATGCAGACATAAACAAATAAATATATATTGTCCCACGGTGTAAGAGTTTAAATGTACAAAATTACACTGTTAACATCTGAACATGGCTGCCTTTAGGTTAAAAGCAACAGCAATAGCACTTCATAGTGCTTTACAGCCTCCTCGGAGCGATTGACAGATATAATTGCCCTCAACAAATTGGGTCATTTTACCAGCCTCTGAACGATAGAATGCTGAATCAACCTTGAGCTGATCAGGATCGAACTGCTGGCAGTCGACAGTTAGCCTGCAATACTGCATTCTAACCACTGCACCATCACGACTAAAAAAATGGGCTTCATCATTAATTTCTTAGGATAGATGATCATTTGGGCATTTATTGGCTTCTATGAAATGAATTTACTTCATCTTGACTGGAAGAGCTGATTCATCAAGATATAATGAATCCATTTCACAAACCCATAATTTTGATGTCACTGTGGCTTGTAGAAGAAAATTGTGCTTATGTCCATTAGTTATTCATAATCACTTTTCATTCATGTCATTTGTTATATGGCATGGCACGCCATCTTCCTTTCCCTAATGCCATGATGGCAAATCTATGGCACGGGTGCCAGAAGTGACATGCAAAGCCATCTCTCTGGGCACACAAGCCATTGCCGATTGCTCTTCTGGTTCTGGTGCACTGGCCAGCTGCTCTTCACGCATGTGGGA